ATATATATGTGAAATGTGTGTGTGTTTTATGCACATATATATACATAATTATGCCTCTATGTGTACACACACTCACCGACCAGTTTACTCGGTCCACCTGTTCCATTGCTTGTTTACACAAATAGCCAATCACACGGCAGCAACAGAGTTCGTTCAGGCATGCAGTCGTGGTGAAGACGACGCTGAAGTTCGAGCCAGACGTCAGAATGGGAAGAAAGGAGCTTTAGGTGAACGTGAAGTGATTGTTGGTGTTAAATGGGCTTGTATGAGTATTTCAGAAACTGCTGATCTACTGGGATTTTTACTCACAACCACCTCTAGGATTTGTAGAGAATGGTCCAACAAAGAACAAATGTCCAGTGAGCAGCACTTGTGTGGACTAAAAGCCTTGTTGATGTTGTTGTAGCTAAACAACATGCAAAGACTTGATCTTTCATAAAAACCGAGGACACTGAATCTCAATAACTGCAAAACTTGGAGATTTATTGAAGCGATGCAGAAAATGTAAATCATCATCAGAGTCCTAAAAAAGAAACCTCCTTCACTGATTTTCACAGAACTATTCTACAGTTATCTCGTTTCATGACAGCACTCACTCGTACACTCAATCAGAGAGGATGTGCTGGGTCAGGGCCCCAACCCAGACTTCATGGCATCTTTGTTTCTATCTATATAGGTTCACTGATAACAGGCCGTGTTTTATTACACTGCCTGGTAAACAACGTCCTACTTCAATGTCACAGGAGACTGGGCAGACTGGTTTGAGAAGAAAGGCAACAGAACCTCATTTTAGCACTTGTTACAAACAAAGGTCTGCAGAATACCATCAACACACAACACGTCCGGTCTTGAAGTAGGTGGCTTACAGCAGCTGAAGACCACCCTGAGTCCCCTCCTGTCACCTAAGAACAGGAAACAGAAGTTCACATGGGCCCAAACTGGACAATAAGATACATTTAAAAACATGTCCTGGTCTGATGAGTCTCAGTTCACTGGACTCCAGTGGCCTCCACGGTCACCAGGTCTCCAACCGGTGTAGCACTGTTGCTATGTGGTGGAACGAACATTCACAGTTTGGAGGAGCAGCGCGATGCTATCATGTCAATCTTTTACATTTTCATTTTGGCTGTTCCCTTCGTCAGGCGTCGCCGCAGCGAGCGAACTCGCACCAGGATTTGACAATAATTTGGATGTCGGATGTTCTTCCTGACGCAACCACAGCCACCGAGCTACCACAGCCTCTGTGTGGAGCAGAGCTGCAGCTAGGACACATGGGGAGCAGATGGTGGGGGTTAAGGGTGCTGTTGAAGGGCCCAGAATGGGGCAAATGAGGGTGGGGGCAGATGTGGATCTTTCATCTTTCCATCCACATTTTGATGTTACAGTCTGCAGGGGCAACTTTGAACCGGCGACCTTCCGATCACAAGTTCACTTGTCTAACCTCTACTCCACCACGCTCCCCATCACGTCATCATGGACTCAAATTCCTGAGGACTTTTCCAACAAAGTGTTGAATCTATGCCATGAATAAAAAGGGCAGCTCTGAAAGGGGCTTGTACTCAGCACCAGCAAGGTGTTCCCAGTAAAGTGGTCTGTACATACACACAGGTATGCACACTCTGCGCATGTATGACATGCATGTTGGACACATGTCCTACGTGATGAAGTGCTGTCATTGTGAACGAGGGCAGTGCTCATTCAGTCACATTTTCTCTGTGCTGTGTTTTGCAGTTACTGGACGAGCTGCCAATGATTTACAGCACCTGTGTCTTCGTCTACTGCCTGTAAGTTGTGCAGGCTTGTTTAGTTTGATTTGGTGGCGCTGCAGCACCTGAGACCACGAGAACACAATCACTGCAGCTCAGACTGGAGAATGGATTGACTTGATCTAGTTCCTGAATGTGGATAGGATAAACTTTTGGTGATTTTATGTGCAACTTTTACTTATCTTGTCATCTTTTAATATTCTTTTCACTGGACAAATAAATGAAATTTATTTTGTTTAGGTACGAATGCTTCAAGCAAGAAAACAGTATCAACTTTTTTACCATTGCATTATTATTAGTCTTCAGTGTCACGGTCACTTTGGTGAGTAAAAGTCATTTCTTTAAAAATGTAAACTTTCTATTGTTTTGTACAAAATGTGTTACAGCCAACATACAGTATCTCCGTGACTTGTTTCTGTATCACTGTCACACAGGTGTATTTACAGTGGAAGGAGCCAGTGTTTCATCAGGTAAGGTGGCGCTTCGTCCACCTGACACGTGGTTTGCTGCGAGGGCTCAGTGTGCTGTAGGTCGACCGTGACTCGTGTAAACACTGAGCGTGCCCACACAGCATGCACTCTGACTTTTATGTATACGGGTTGGTTAACAAAAGCCCTCTCCACACCTGAGACATGTCACATGAACGTCTTTATAAGCTTGTTAAATCAACACCCTGCTGTCACTCAGACAAGGAGACGGAAATGTTCCTCACAGCTTTATACAGATAAACTTCATTTAACTTTCAGCTCAACTTTACCTGTAAAAAGTAGCAAGTCAAACTGTAAAAGCTCAACGTTACAATACAAAGACATAAAAGAATAGTTTATGAATATATAAAAAAAGTTGGTCGAGTCATCCACTGTGACGGTGGAACCAGTTCATACTTGTCAAAGAGCCTGTTGCTGAAGGACCTGGTCTTCTCGCTGTTTTGTGTTAGAAAGTTCGTGCAGTTCTGTTGTCGTGTGACTGGTACGGGAGATCAAAGGTTCGGGGTTCAAGCCCGAGTGCAGTCAACCTCTGAGCTCCCCTGGTGGAGTAAGGACTGGGAAACATAGAAATGATCATTTGCTGGTCCAGAACCAGTACATTGTGATGAGGACTGAACTAAGGGAACAAGGTGTTAATGGTTTCCAGTGTGCGTATGCACTGAATGTCTATTGTTCTTAATGTGGGAATGAATTTAAGCCAAGCAAATCTCTCACTAGTGTATGTGATGCAGTTTTAATAGTTGTAAATTATTTCATTGGTCACTAATCTTTCATTTTTTGCTTTATCACCTCCACAACACTTCAGGTCATGTATGGTGCTTTAGTAGCTTGCCTAGTGCTGCGATCGATTTTCATTGTTACATGGTAAGTTTTCCTAAACCTTTAAAATAGAAACAGTCAATATATTGAGAAAGGTGTTGCAGCGGGGTTTTCATTCTATATTTATGTTCTACCTGTAGGGTGTACCCATGGCTCAGGCCTCTGTGTTACACCTCCTTAGGCATCTTTATGCTTGGCTTCCTGCTGTGGAATATTGACAACATCTTCTGCAACTCGCTACGGTAAGGATTGGTGCAGCACATCGGTGTCAGAAGCATCTGTAATGTGGGGGGGGGGGGGGGGGCTATGGTGTGTGTGTGTGTGTGCGCGCACATGCATGTACACCAGTGTGCAAAATAGTGTACACTGGTGTACAAAGAAGCAACATTCCATCTAGTTTTCATTACTTTGAAATGAACGTTTTTTTAATGTGGGGGGGGACTTGTCCCCTTCATATGTAATGAGCATGCATCAGGATATTCATATGTAATGGTTGCGACGCCTTTGGTGGAACATAATTATGTTTTAGAAATGTGTATAAATTTGATCCAAACTAATATAAACATTTTACAGCAAACAGTTTCAAAAATGGCATAATTAACCTGGGTGTGATGTAATGAATAACTGTTAATAATAATAATAATATTCTTTATTTTACCAGGTAGGTCAACTGAGAACCATGTTTTGTACAAGCACTAGTCTTTTCCTCATTGCAGTGGATTAGGACTGTTGCATGTATGTAATTAACCTGTTAAGTGTATGTACGGTACATATTTCAGCTCACAATGTAACGTTTAAATAAAATGAAAATATTTTGTTACATATATCCTGATCCATGCTCAATAATCCAGGTAGAAAAATCTAACAAAGTTAAGTCAGGTCCTGTGGACGGATTAAAATAAATAAATGAAAGAAATAAAAATTAAAACATTTAAAACTTGCTGAAATGTTTCACGTTCTAAATTTAAAATTTTAATTTATTTGTTTTAATTTTTTTAAATCTGTCCAGAGGACTTGACTTTGTTACTTAGATATATTTACTGTAAATATTTATACTTAAAGACAAGTCATGAATGTTAACATGATCACTTTAAATGGCAGAAGAATTCTCCATGATCCAATAATCCATTATTATTTGTGATAACAAGTTGAGTAAAATGTGTTTGTTTTCCTCAACACTTGGTTTTGGTTCTCCCTCAGAGCCAGTAGAGAGGTGCTGCCCTCTGGTGTTGGAGTGCTAACACAGTTCCACGCCTGGTGGCATATCTTCACAGGTCTCGGGTCCTACCTTCACATACTCCTCAGGTAACGTTCTTACACGGAGATGACAGCGGTTCACTCTGATGATGCCTGTTCATTCACAACAAAAGTAAATACTCGTTCTCCTCCAGCTTGCAGATCAGATCCACCTACCTCAAGCACAGACCAAAAGTTAGGGTACGTGCGGCTTCTTGTCAGAAGTAACTGTAATTAGACGTGATTTGTTTTACACTTTTTTGCACGACCAATGGTGCATTTGAGGTGTGCAGTAGAACTATAACCCATGCTGGCTGTCACCTGTCTTATCAGTTCCTGTGTGGAGTCTGGCCCACGTTGCACATTGAGCCCCAGAGGATGAACTGAAACCAGGAAATGGAGACCAGCTGAAAGATGGTGACTGCCAAATCAAGACGCTGTTGGCACCAAAACGTGCCGGTGCTTGCCAGCAGCAATGCAGCACTCACACAATAAGCAGGTGAATTATGGGGCACCTCGTTAGGGCCTTTCAGTTCTCTGCTGTTTGAAATGACCAAGAATGGTATAGCACTGAGTCCAACTGTAGAAAATAGAATAATTGTTTTCATTAATTATAATTTATTAGAATAGTTTTTCTCTAATGTTATTGTAACAGACATTTTATTTGTTAATTCACTTTAATATAATGAACGACTGATGCTTAGTAGTCCAATGCACTGGAGCATGTTGAACGGGGTTATTGGCGTTTAATTGATGGAGGCTTGAATAACAATATAGGTGCAATTATTTTTAAATTCTTAATATTTCTTTTATCACTCAGATATGGTAATCACTAAATCTTACAGGCTGTCATATATGCAATTACATTCCAATTTTAAGAAAGTATAAGCCAGTTTTAACAGTGTGTTGTACGAGTGGTGTCAAAAGAAGCTGAAGTACCATTTCTTCAAGGCAGCATCTCACTGGCTCTGACTGATGAACACTAGTTGGGTGATGAAGATGATAAACGGCAGGTTTTCTGTTAGAGTCCCACTGAATGATGATTCTTCAAGCATCAGGTGATCAGGAAGCTGTGCAGCCATGTTTGGAGCGACCATTGTAGGAAAATCACAGTTTATTGTTCTGCGCACATTATTTTATTGCCCATGCCGCCCCCATCAAACCCAGCTTGGCATGGAGCAGGTGGAGCTGGTGCTCCCTCAGTTCTGAAGTGGGAGTGCATGCTTGAGTTTTGGCTTCCCCAGTTTTTAAACTTATCCCTCCCAGCAATAAGACAACAGCACTTAGTGATTATGTTTGTAGGTTCTTGGTTAAAAACATAAAAGTTAATGTTAAAACTAATGTTACATTCTGTTCAACTGGGCCAAGATGGTGTAGGGGCGGGCAGCCGACTCCTGGTTCAATCCCCGGTCATTGCACATGCCGTGGTGCCTCTGAGCAGGACACCTCATCCTGAACTGCTCCCCGGGCGCCTACAGAGCTGCCCCCCTGCACCTGGGGGCATCTCAGGTGCGATGGGTTAAATGCAGAGAGCCGGCTACGTCTTTGTTTGGGATCATACAGTGATGACAACACATAGAATTTAATTAATTAATTTATTTAACTAAGTCCAACTCAGCAGAGTCCTAAAGACTCGCGTGGAGGTCGTAAAGAAAGCTACAGTCTGGACCTTAATCTCAATGGAGGGGAGTATTTTTAGGTTGAACAAAAGTCTTAAATTAAATTTAGACTAATGATGTCATAAAAGGAAAGTTGTGTAAATATTTACATTAGGTCTAATAAAAGAATTGACAGGTTGTTTTTACAAAACCTTGTAGGATCTGAACACCATCTTTTACATTAAAGCTCAAAACAATTTTCATTAAAGTATAAAAGCATAGTTTGTCAGTGGGACTGTCTCCTCTGAGCCTAATATGTGCACACAACGTGCACTTTGAGTTTGACATCCTTAATATCGCTTTCCCAGTTTGATCACGTGACCATGCACTTTTTATCATGTGACCATGCACTTTTTATCATGTGACCATGCAGCCGTGCAGCTGCTCCAGTGCTTTTCATTTAATCTACACATTTGAAATGAAGACTGTTTTAGACCAGTTTATTTGACCAGTCTTCTTATTGGTTTTATTTTCAGAACACACTCATAAAAACAAAGAACAAAATCTCCTCCCACTCCAGATCAGACACGAACATGTTACACGGGCACCGACATACAAATGGCTGCCAAGTGTCCCAGAATCTGTCAGCAGAACCTTTCAGAGTAGATGTGATCTGTTCCAGATGAACATGATGCATGAAGTTTCTTAACCAGTTTCATCTTAACCAGTTTAATCTGAACCAGTTTCATCTTAACCAGTTTCCATCTTAACCAGTTTCATCTTAACCAGTTTCATCTTAACCAGTTTCATCTTAACCAGTTTCCATCTTAACCAGTTCCATCTTAACCAGTTTCATCTTAACCAGTTTCCATCTTAACCAGTTTCATCTTAACCAGTTCCATCTTAACCAGTTTCATCTTAACCAGTTTCATCTTAACCGGTTTCATCTTAACTAGTTTCCATCTTAACCAATTTCATCTTAAGCAGTTTTCATCTTAAGCAGTTTTCATCTTAACCAGTTTAATCTTAACCAGTTTCATCTTAACCAGTTTCATCTTAACCAGTTTCATCTTAACCAGTTTCATCTTAACCGGTTTCATCTTAACCGGTTTCATCTTAACCGGTTCCATCTTAACCAGTTCCATCTTAACCAGTTCCATCTTAACCAGTTTCATCTTAACCAGTTCCATCTTAACCAGTTTCATCTTAACCAGTTCCATCTTAACCAGTTTCATCTTAACCAGTTCCATCTTAACCAGTTCCATCTGCCGGGGATGCTGCTGTAAGTGTCCCGGACAGAATCATGTTCCTGGTTTTACCCCAGTTTCCATAGTTACCCAGTGCCGTGCTGTCCAGGCCTGGGCCGGTGCTCTTCAGAGGGAGAGCTCCGTGCACGAGTCCACTGACACGTTAACCCACTGAAACAGTCCTGTGACAACACTGAGACTTCTTTGAGAGAGAACTTGTTGCACCAGAAGACTGCAAAGTATTTCCAGGAGTGTTTTTGTAAAGTAGACTTGAGCAGTCGCAGCTCAGGGAGGTGCTGCCTTTCATGTCACTGCCAGGAGTGTGAACGTGTCAATCACTGCAGCTCTGCTTCTTTTCTGCCCAATGAACTTTGACCCCCCACAAGCAAAGACTGAAAAACAAGTCGCCTTGTTTGAGGAGCTCCAAGGAGCTGGAGTTACTGGAAAACTCCTCTGTCACGAGCTTTGCACGAGTTTTGAATTGTCTTCAAGTGTTTCACGTAACATGCCACAACTGGAATACTGACAGTCTGAAGCCAGTTTTGATCTTATTTTTTAATTTATTGCCAAAGTTGCTCAGGTTGTTTTTAAACCTGGAGTGCACAAGATATTTAAATTTTCCTCAAGTCAAGTGAACATAAAATAGTGTTGTGCTTTTAGTAATATACTTAATGAATCAGAAAAGACTAATGCATTTTATTTAACAGCTATTTATTAGATGTCAAAACACTAGAAACTGTTCTTTAGAAACGGTGTGGATGCATCCACTGGGTGGTGCACTGGGTGGTGCACTCCTCCACCTCTTGATGAAGTGCAACAGGCTGTGCAGCTGTTTTACAGCTGTCTGTTTCAGATTTGAGTTGTGAACTGAAGGTTTTTCTTTTTGTTTCTTGATGCTGTGAAACAGCACACGTGTATTAGTAACAAGTGACGCAGCAGTTTGAGGGGAATTCTTTTTCTAAACTGCTGATTATCTCCTGAGGCAACACGCTGTGCGCTCGTCTTTTGGACGTGCACATCCACTGTCAGAGCGTAGGCACAGTATGTGAATGATAAGTATTAACGTGCAGATGTCTGTGTGAAGCTGTTTATTTGAGCTCTTAGTTCCCCGCTCGTCAGTGCATGGGAGCGATCCTCCCCCAGGGTGCCTTACAGTTAACGGTGTAATCCAAGTGGCCTTGATGCTTGTGTGGACCTCTCAGTTCGTCCATTTCAGTGTCCTGATCATGAGCCACATGCTTCAGGAGGACAAAGCTTTTACTTCAAAGTTTCTTGGCCTTCCCTTCACGTGTGTAGCTCCTCCATGTCGTGTCACCATGTTCCCTTTATGAAGGGGATGAATTGCACCACCAAGTGTGTTTGGACCACAACACCAAACTCTGCCAACAGTTTTCTGACCTTTGATCGGTCCTCATGTCCTGTGTTTGTCTAATAAAAGGATGACTCTTGAGTATTGAGCACCTTACCTTCTCTGTGGCTGCAGTGAAGCGTTCACTGAGGCAGCCACAGCGTCCTGAAGGGTTAAACTATTCCAGTAGGATGAAACTGACGTATAAAAACAAGTTTGGTTGAACAAATTGTAGAAAACATTACAACCTTGTAATGTTTGCATTTACTTATTTACTGAAGGTTAAACTGAGTGTCAGTCTGAAAGTTTATGTATAAAGACGAGCAGAACCTCCAGACACCTCATTTTTATGAACATCCCACTTCTTTTTTTTAATGGCATTCAAGAGAATGACCCCCCCCACCCATTATTTTGCATTTTAATAATTTATTACTGCTAGTTATAGTTACGTCTGAATTTAACCTCATGGCTTGTGTTCACAGTGTTTTTGTAAATTTACTTCAAAATTTTCCAGTTTTATATTTGTAAAACATTTTAACATTTGAGTTTTTATACATTCTGGTTAAATATTCCAGCTCAGTTAAACAAAATCAGAGAATCTATTGAATCCAAAAATGCTTGTGTCTCTTAAACATCACATTAAGATGTGCATAATAAGACTGAACATTTAAAAAAAAAAAGAAATTAACATCCAACCACTTTCTTTACCCGCTTCTTCCATTCTGGATCACGGGGGTCGTCGGTGCACATGTCCAGCAATCACTGTGCGAGGGGCGGGGGACACCCTGGACGGGTCGCAAGTCCATCACAGGGACACATGTATATATATGAATATATGTATACTGTATATATATATATATGTGTGTGTGTATAGGGCAGCATGGTGGCACAACTGGTAGAGCTGCTGCCTCTCAGCGAGCAGGTCCCTGGTTCAAATCCCAGTCCAGGGGTCTTTCTGGGTGGAGTTTGCATGTTCTCTCTGTGCATGTGTGGTAAATGGACTGTACTTAAACAGCTCCTTTCTATATGATCAAGACACTCAAAGCTCTTTACAACAATCTGTCTCATTCATGCAGCTCTATACTAGATCTCTACAAAGCTAATTGTATAAATCATTCTAAAGAGACTAATCAGAGCTTTATCACATTCATACACCAATGGGACACACATCAGAGGTAATGAGGGGTTCAGTGT